AGGATTATCAGAATTGATTAACAACTTTCTTTCTTTCTTTTTTTAAGTGCACTGAGCAAAATTCCTTTCAAAGGATATCTGGGATGTCTGCCAGAAAGCTGGAACCTACTTATTGTATTATCTTTCTGTTTAAGGAAGTATTCTCTTTAGTCAGCACCATTGTTTAGGTGACTTGGGAGGTAGTGGCTAATTCCTTCACACACACATATACAATTGATACAGTAAACAAAGTCATTTTGTTTTAAAAAACATATGAAATGGGAAATGCTTTCTGTTTTATATTAACACCTTGAAATGTTAAACCTGCCTAAGATATCATAGTCTAAGGTGTCATTATAAAATACTATCAAAATGACTAAAACAAACACACTACTCATCTCATTAATCTAGAATACATTCAATTTTAAAATGCGGCTGACAGAGAATCCTATTACCAGAATTAGCTTAGAAACGTGATGAATTACTCCTAATTCAACCTCAGATTTTACAACATCCATGTCACCTATAAATTACAATTTCATTCTGAAACATTAATCCTTACACATCAAGTTTTAAAACAAATTTAACTTTAAATTTCACTTTCTACCCAGCATTTAAAGAGGAGCTGAGCACCTCAGGGAGCTAAAACTACCGCCCACTCCATCCTGGCTGGTGGCTGGGTAAGCAAGCCAAAGCAACAATGGGCTTTTCCATGATTTTTATCACACCTGTAACAATGCTCACGTTCATGACTTTTAAAAAGCGAGTATTCAACTTCCTAGGGTTAGAACCATCTCTGAAATCATACACTCCTTTTTTGAGTGACAGCTATTAACTACATGAGTACTCCTTAAAGGCCCCTTACAGAACATTTTAGCTCTAGGGTCTGTGTTAAAGAGTCAGATTTCAGAATATTTTTTATTCATAAAAAAAAATTCATTCAGTGTTTTAAAATCACTTAAAAAAAAACACATATGGATACTCCTGTTAAGAACCACACATTAGATAGACGTACTCTTATTTCCTAATGCGTGACAACACATTCGAATGTGAAGGAAAGCTACGTTTAAAGCAAGGTTTTCTTTATCACCAAGGGCACATGCTTTCTAATTTCCTATGACTAACACAATTCAAATGTCATTTTTCAAAACCGAACTGTCTTAAAATAATGAGGGAGCCTCATGAAGTTTGGAAATTTGAATGAGAAGATCATGGGATTTGCCCATGAGAAATGCTCATCAGTAGTACTTGTTGACACTTTCATGTGAAAGTTCACAGAGCAGAGCAGTTTCCACTCAGTAACTCACACATCTTTGTTTCATGTCACTGATCACGATCCCTTCGATGTAATATCACTTGGTCCACTTTCTTCCTGTTTTCTTTGTCTTCTTTCTTAACTTTTCTGAATATTTTCCTTGGGTAAATGCCACCCTTATGATCTCAAATGGTTGATTATTCACTAGTGTCACTGTCCCCTGTAGATCTATTGTTTGGCTGAAAATTCACCCATAGGGCTGAGCTCATTTTCCAGACGTGAAGGGTGCCTAACAGCCACGGTCTCAGGCATCCTACGGACTTCCTGAAGCCCCTGGTCTACCAGAACTGTTTATTCTCTGATGAACTGCGAAGAGTTGTATGCATAGGTCAACTGAGGGAAAACTCGTTTTCTGTGTTTTCAACACTTCGTATTTTGCTTTTATTTTGAATTGTTTTCTTTATTTTAGAGATAACAAGATCAATAAACTAAGTTTTCCACTGATCACATCATTAGAAAATGATTTCTCCCACTGCATTCCATGGCTTGCTGTCCTCCATCAACCACAGCAGGCCATCACGGCAATTCTCCATGAGATCTCGTCCTGAAGAAGCATTGCTTTCTTTACATCAGTCAACCAGTGCCTTCACCCCAACACTGGGCCTCCACCGCAGAGCAGGGGACAGTGCCGTAGTGGGAATTTGTCTTGGCATCTGAAGATTACTAAGAAGATTGGGGGCCGTGGAGGTGTCATGGTGACACTTGGGCTACTAACCGCAAAGCCAGCAGGCGGAATTCACTAAGTGCTCTTGTAAAGAGTCAGTCTCAGCAGCCCACGGGGGTCATCCTACCCTGTCCTGTAGGGTCACTAACAGTCAGAATCGACTTGACGGCAGCGAGCTGTTGCCTTGTTTTGAATAGTCTACATATCATCATCTAGTATTTTAACTACGTAGAGCATCAGAGGAGCAGCCCCTATTGAGGAGGAGCTTCACAACATTCATGGAAAAGCAGGAATAGAAAGATACTGGAGTTTTTTTCTATGAACTTTTTGAAGCCCCCCTCGTATTCCAGGTTGAGTGGATTCCACAGCCCTTGGCTTCTGTGGTGTGTCTGCTTCTCTATCACGATGCTGAATTATGTACGTAAGACCTCTGCTAGCACCTGCCCAGGAAAATGATTGTGACACCCTGCCCCACCCTAGAGAGCTACGTCCTTAAGGTACATAATCTTTTATTAGTAGTAAGTTAACTCTTAAATAATAAGAAACCTTGGTGTTGTAACAGTTAAAATGCTCCAGCTGCCAACCCAGAGATAAGCCAAAGAAGGAAGGAAGGAAAGGAAGGAGAAAGAGAGAGAGAGAGAAAGAAAAAAAATGTTGAGTCCACTTGTAGTTCAGCAGAAACAAGACCTGGAGATGTGCTCCCACCAATCCGACAGCAATCCGACAGCCTAGGAAGCTGACAGGGCAGCTCTGCCCTGTTGTATGAGGTTGGGACTCCAAGTGGACTCAACAGCACACAGAAACCCCAAACAAATCCCACTTGCAGCGAGCCAGTAGGACAGCGGAGAACTGCTCCCCAGGGTTTCAGAGGCTGTGCATCTTTACATGAGCAGATGGTCTCATCTTTCACCTGCAGGCTGGCTGGTGGGTTTGAATCACTGACCTTTTGGTTGGTAGCTCAAGGCCTAACCCACTGCATCACAAGGGCTCCTTGACAACCATGAGTAACACTGACAGCCTTTGAAAACACGGGGCTCGTCTCCACAAGTTCCAATGAATTATGCTTCATATGTCATCAGGTGAAGTCAAATCACAGAATCGGCTTCTATGACTGTACTAAATTCAAATGCCTTCAAAGTGAAAGCATAATTTTACCATTTCCCCATCCACCACTAAAATTCTGTAAGTTCCTTATTGTACTTTGGATTTAGCTATAAGTAATAATAAACCCAACTGCTGACTAGAAAGATTTTTTTTTAACTCCACCTTCCATAATCATCGCCACATTTTACATCTGATCATTAGCTTTCAATGTGTAAGGGCAGGGCTTGCTCAGTCTACAAATTCTACTGAGTTGTACGGTCAACTGGGGGAAAAGGTTTTCTCTATTTTCTCAGAGATTTTTGCAACTAATGGTGGGGGGGGGGGACGTTAGGCTCATGGAAATAAAACTGTGTAGTTGAAAACTTTGGCACTTACTCAAAATTGTTTTGTGTTTATTTTCATGGAATGTCTTTCCTCATATTCAAAAAAAGTTATAAGACCCCAGACGCTATATCTTTTGATAGCCGGGCACCATCAGCTTTCTTCACCACATTTGCTTATTCACCCGCTTTGTCTTCAGCGGTTGTGTCGGGAGGGTGAGCATCATAGAATGCCAATTTACTAGAAGAAAGTATTCTTGTGTTGAGGGAGTACTTGAGTGGAGGCCCAATGTCCTTCTGCTACCTTAATACTAAACCTATAAATGTAGGTTTATAGATCTATTTCCCCATCCTCATATATTTGTATATGTACATGTCTTTATCTAGAGCTCTATAAATACCCTTTGCCTCCCAGCTCTTTCCTCTATTTCCCTTGATTCTCCTCCTGTCTCACTATCATGCTCAGTCCCCACCAGGATTTCAGCACTTCCTCTTTGTTACGTTCCCCTTGATCCTGCCCTACCAGGTCTCCCACACCCACCTCCCCACCAATTTGGATCGCTTGTTGTTCCCTTGTTCCTGGGTTTGTTATCCCCTCTTCTTCCCTTCCCCCCTCCTCCCGCTCTCCCATGTCCCCCCGGGAACTGTCAGTCCCGTTGTTTTCTCCTCCAGATTGTTCATCCAACCTGTCCTATCCAGACAGGCCTGCAGAGACAACATGCATAAAAACAAGACAGAGCAAAACCAAGCAACAACACTGTACACCAAAACAGCAACAACATCAATCCACTGATGAAGAACAAATTAAAATATACCAAGCAAGAAAAACTTGTGTTTTCCAGTCTAGCCTGTTGGGGCACCATGCCCTGTCTCCAATGTCCACCCTCATCATTCCCTGGGGATCTTTCTACTCCCCTCCCCTGCTGTTCCGCTGCACCACCACCCCCCTCCAGTGCCTTGCCTCGGCATGGCGGGGTCAGATCAGGCGCAATTCCCACACTGTGTCCCTGGTGTTGTCCCCCGCAGGGCCATGGGCCAGTGAGGAGCATCTCGGCACATGACACTCTTCTAAAGAATTATCTCTCTCAGACCAAACTGACCATAGTAACTCTCAAGCATATAGGAGTAGTCTACAGAGCAATGAGTATAAATCAAAGATGGAACAATACGAGGAGACACAGCAAGAATAGTGACACAAGAGAAGAGTGTTCACAATGGTCACTGAACTGTACATGTGGAAACTGTTGCATGGGAGTACGAGCTATTGTGCATATTTTCAGGGTTTAAAAAAAGGATTCTAATACCTGGCTTTCTGCACCTGCACTGACTTTTGGCTTGTGGTTAAGGGCTACCTAGAATGCAATATCGTGGTGGCAAACTCATCCTAAGTGACAACATGAAATGAGTTCACAGTGGATTCATAAAATACTTGCATGTCACCTAGTCACAAAAAACTAACAATTGTCTTAAAAAAAAAAATACAGAGAATGCCTTAATCTGCTAAATGACCCAGATAGATATATTTAAAGCTCTTCTTGACTCAACCTGTCTTCACTTCCAAGAATTTTCATGAGCATTCATGACTATATAACAATTCTAATATTTGAATAAAGCTTACCACTTGGAGAATATCTTCATCCTTTGGCATAACACTAAGTTCCAATGTTGTATCACTGAAATCGAACATAAACATACTATTTTAGGGGGGCAGAAGTAACAAAGAATATATGAAAGAAAAATAGCCAACTCAGAAGCAGTTTTAAAATTGAGCTTTAATTTTTGCTTTTTTTTATGTCTTTACTTTTTATAACCAAATCCTTAGGGTAGAAAGAAGTCACTTAAACACATAAGCGAATGATGAACAAAAGAGGGACTATCTTGGCATATTTTTAAGCTTTTTCTAGTCAGAGAATTCTTTACAGTATGCTTCTAAAATTTAGAAATATGAAGACTCTTACTTGTATTAAATAGTCCTAGAACAAAACTCATAGCAGTATCAGTATACAATTGTGCATGATTTCACTTCAAGTTACAAAGCCAATTAAGATTCTTATGTTATATTCTGTTTATCAAGCTGCGGGTTCATCAGCGTAAAAGTAAACCATAGAACCTTCCAATTTAACCTGGAGGGTAATCTTAAAAGCCCACTTTCTTAATAATCCACTGCTGACCTCAGAAGAAAAAGAATTCAGAGTTGACTATCACAGCTACTGAAATAACTCCTCATTAAAACAAACAAACAAAAACTATACAGCATCTCAACCATTTGCTTTCTTCTTTATGGTTTACTTTTAGAACCTTACAGGAACAGCTGAAGGTCTTTTTTTATTTTTGTAAACATTCATTGTAAATGTCCTGTTCAAATGGACAGGTAAAACATTTCCCCTGTATGTTTCAAAAGAGTTGAAAGGGGTAAATGATGCTGCATTCTGTGATCAGAGGTTAGATTACAGTGAGATAGGGCATGGCTAGTGGTACTATCTCCACCAAGTGCTTCAACATCTAATCTAACCATATCAGACTCTCCCCCAGCACAATCAAGGAATTAAGAAGCAATCAGAGGGAGTGGGGAAAATGAGGAGCTGATACCAAGGGCATAAGTGGAGAGCAAATATTTTGAGAACAATGAGGGCAATGAATGTACAAATGTGCTTGACACAATTGGTGTATGTATGGATTGTGATAAGACTTGTATGAGCCCCCAATAAAATAATTTTAAAAAGTAATCAGACAAATAACAGAAAAGGAAAGAAAAGAAAATCTGGTTGTGTGCTGGTGTCTTTTTGGGGGACAGATTTGAACTCTTGTTTTTAGGTTCATAAATCTTGAGAGGATGGTAAACCACTAAGAACCAGAAGTTCAAATAAATATAACTAGTGATGTATGTAGATACTTGTATTTCACTAGTTAGAGCTCATAGATAATACATAATGATGGTCAGATACATTCTTCTGTAAGTGGACATTTTTATATAAATACACTGCAGTCTTAATAGCTTTGTATCACATTATCCATTTGTTGTCAACTACAGACAAAAGAAACAGTTTTTATGATGTCTATACAACACTTTTTCTATGTTCACCACGGGATGGAGGCTTTTTCTTTTTTTCTTCTTTATTAATCATTTTATTGGAGGGCTCTTACAAATCTTATAACAATCCATCATTCAATTTGTATGTTGCCATCAATATTTCCAAATCATTTTCTTTCTGCTTGAGCCCTTGGTATCAGCTCCTCTTTTTGCCCCTCCCACCCTCATGGATCGTTGATCAATTATATATTATTATTGTTGCTTCGTGTCTTACATTGTCCGTTGTCTCCCTTCACCCACATTTCTATTATTCGTTCCCCCAGGGGGTGGGTTATATATCCAACCTTGTGATGGGTTTCCCCTTTCCACCCCCTCAACCCCATCATCCCCCTACCCTCATGGTATCATTACTCCCACTACTGTTCCTAAGGGTTTTATCTGTCCTGAATTCCATGTGTCGAGAGCTTTTATCTATACCAGTGTACATGCTCTAGTCTAGGTGCATGTATAAGGCAGAACTGGGGTCATGAGAGTGGGGGGGGGGCGGTGGAGGAAGCATGAAAGAACTAGAGGAATGTTGTGTGTTTTGTAAGTGCTATCCTGCACCCGGGCTTGTAACCCTTCTATGTCCAACTGTCTACAGATGGGCTTTGGGTCTCTACTCCAACACCGCACTCCGCCCCATTCGCATTGATGTAATTGTTTGTTTATGGCATGGAGGCTTTAACTTCATCACCTGCCCCCAAACTCCTAAATCTTCTCAATAATGAAATAGGCACCATAATCAGGAGCCCCTCCCATCCACCACTAGTGGCAAGATTTCAAATGTGTCTTCTCTAGGAATTTTAATACATATTAAAATAATAAGCTCTCTGCCATCGATCAATCATGGTTAGGTCTTTTAATTGCCCCAAATGACAATGACTTAGGACATTCAACAAATAGTTCAGATGACAGAGCGCCCATTGCTTTAGGCATGGTCCGAGAGGTTTGACAGCGATCTTGAAGACATGAAAAAAGCTTCCATTACATCATGGACAGGTAGGTATGGCTAACCCAAAGCAACAGGTCATCCAAAGGTTACAATATATTTCAATCTTGGCAGCACTTCTTACAGTAGAGAGACAACCTGGAAATCAGACCCCAGATTTTAGGATCCGTCTTGAAAGAAATCTAGTTTGCTAGATATATAATCGTTTGTCAATTTGAGGATTAAGAGTGTAGGGGTGGAGTCTAGCTTATCAATCAGACCATAGCCAATGAGGCCTCTGTGGGGGCATGGTCTTCTCCTGAGAATTCTGGGAAATCCAGTACTTCCTCCTTGGAGGTGGGAGACTCTGCTCACACCCTGGGAGACATAGTAGATGACAAGACACATGGACCCACCCTGATGCAGAGACCCCTGCCAGCACTGAGATGTTTCCAATGACACTGGATTAAAAGACTTTCTACCCACTGGCCTGTGATCTTGCACATTCAGCATCATTGCATGTGTTTCGTGAGTCTGAAGAGGACTTTATAGATTGCTATCGGACATACGGGTTAATATTAGACTAATGGACTTGATTTGGACTGGGCTGGGATGTTTTCCCAAAGTTCAGTTGCTCTTGTATATGAATCTCTCTTATACACATATGTGTCCAGAGATTTGTTTCTCTAGTCCACCCAGACTAACACACTAGTAGGACACCTTCCACTTTTAATCAGTTATTTATTTGTAAATTCCTTGGTGTGTGATAGCAAGAGAGTAAGGCTGATTTATTTTTCAGGTCTCACAGATGGTCATTCTATAAATACTGGCTTACCTAGATTGCGCTATCCTGCTAAGTACTAGCACAAAACTGGATCAAAAGAAGATTCTTTACTGTCTTGGGGGGGTAAATAAATAAATGAATGAATAACTAAATAACGAGTATTCAAAAGACAGAGCTGGTACGCGCTGTAAGGTGGATGAACCTTGAAAACATAATGCTGAGAGAACGAATCACAAAAGGGCAAATGCTGTCTGATCACACGTATGTGGAATAGTAAGAAGAGGTAAATACTTAGAAACCAAACCTCATTAGTGCTTACAAGGGCCAAAGGGGTAGCAGGAAGGGACAGCGACTGATTAGGAAGCAGTGGGTTTTTCTGCTCAAGAAATTGGCAACAATTAGGGTTGGCGGTTACACAACATGATTAATGTAACTGATATTACTGCACAGCTCAAAAATGTTGAATTATGTGTTACACAGGAGTATAAAAGAATCTGAAAAAGTAGAACTACAAGATTTTCTCTCATAAACTCCTTGAAGACCCCACATATATGTATTTTTACAAGACTAAAAAAGAAGAGGAGGGAAATAAACCAATCACACCTTAGTAATAGGTTTAAAATAAATTCTAAATCATTTATTTATGAATTACTATAGCTTATAAAGAAATCATACATGCTATTATCCAAATTAAAAATATATATCTAATCTACATATATATATCTAAAATCTAAGATATCTAAAATAAAATCTAAAACCTATGGCTCTCAGACTTTAAATGATTTTATTTTATAAATCGTTATTGGGGGTTCTTACAGCTCTTATGACAATGCATACAATCAATTGCATCAAGCATGTTTGTACCTATGTTGCCATCATCATTTTTAAATGAGCCCTTGGTCTCAGCTCCTCTTTTATCACTCCCGGCCCCACCCTCCCACCTTCATGACTCCTTGATAAATTATAATTATTCTCATGTCTCACACCATCTGCTGTCTCCCTTCACCGATGTTTCTGTTGTTCATCCCCCCCCTGGGGGGTGGGACTTATACATCGATCATTGCAATTGGTTTCCCCTTTCTCCCCCCACCTGTCCCCTACCCTCATGGTATCACTACTCCCATTACTGTTCCTGAGGACTTTATCTGTCTTGGATTCTGTGTGTCGAGATCACTTATCTGTACCAGTGTACATGCTACGGTCTAGATGGATTTGTAAGGTAGAGCTAGAGTCATGATAGTGGGCAGGGAGGTAGAAGCATTAAAGAACTAGAGGAATGTTGTTTGTTTCGTCAGTGCTGTACTGCATCCTGGCTAATTCATCTCTTCCTTGTGACCCTACTGCGAGGGGATGTTCAATTGTCTACAGATGGGCTTTAGGTCTCCACTCTGCCCCCTCCCCCGCCCTGATCCCAATGATATGATTGTTTGTTTTGGGTCTTCTGATGCCTGATACCTGATCCTGCTGATACCTCATGATCACACAGGCTGGTGTGCTTCTTCTATGTGGGCTTTGTTGCTTCCCTGCTAGATGGCCACATGTTTAACTTTAAGCCTTTAAGACCCCAGACACTATATCTTCTAATAGCCGGGCCCTGTCAGCTTTCTTTACTACAATTGCTTATGCACCCATTTTGACTTCAGCGTTAGTGTCAAGAAGGTAAGCATCACAGAATGTCAGGTTATTAGAACAAAGTATTCTTGCGTTGAGGGAGTACTTGAGTAGAGGCCCAACTCCAACTGCTACCTTAATACTTAACATATAAATATAAGTACATAGACCTATGTTCCTACCGTTACATATAAATATATTTACATATGCACGTGTCTTATAGTCATACCTCTATCAATGTCTTTTGCCTCCTAGTTCTTTCCTCTATTTCTTTTTACCCTCCTCCCGTCCCAATATCATGTTCAACCTTCATCTGGCTCCCTCTTGGCTACATTCCACTTGACTAAACCCTACCAGGCATTCTGGGCCTCCTCACCATAGATTTCAGATCACTTGTTCTCTTGTCCCTGGGTTTGTTGGCTCCCGTCCTCTTCCTTTCCCCCACCTCTCCCTCTTCACATCTGATAAATCTGCTACAGCCAAGCCACCAAGTAGGTGTCTAATCTGGCACCTCTCAAACACCTTAACCACATCTCGGCATCACACCAGTTACTTACAGGAATACGGTCTTGTATTAAATTTTTTTGCCCTATTGATTTGCAAAACCCATCTTTGGCAAAATGAACCATGCTCCCAGAATCTTACCTGTTCTGAATTAAAGCAATTACTTGAGAATAGGTCTTTCCAATAACACTTTCTCCATTGACTTTTATAATTCGGTCACCTTCAAAGAGGAGATAAAGAAAAAAGGAGAATACATAAGGAAGTTCTAAGGAAAACCACTTTTGAAACATTGCTTGAGTAATGCACTTACTTTAATATATCCTTGCTAATTAGTTTCTAATAAGTGTTTTTCTCAGACATAAATCCACATCTTAATATAACCAGAACATGAAGCATTCATGTTTTGAATGAGTCTCAGTCCTTTATTAATTTAGAACTCTTAAAAATTGTAGTTGAGGAGCTTGGTTAGTATAGTGGATAATGCATTGGGTTGCTAACTAGAAGGTAAGTCGTTCGAACACATCAGCTGCTCTGAGGGATAAAGATGAGACTTTCTACTTCCATAAAGATCTATAACCTTGTAAATCCATGGGGCAGTTCTATCCTGCCTATAATGTCATTTTGGGTTGAAATTGGCTTGCTGGGCATGAGAAAGAAAAGTTACAGCTATCCAGTGATCACAGTTAATATTTTATACTCCTCCTGTGCATTGTTTTCTGAGCTGTAAAACTATTGAATTATTCCTCTATTTACCCTCTCCTTACTAATAAGCCCATTGCCATCAAGTTGATCCTGACTCACAGAGACCCTACAGGGCAGGGAAGAAAGACCCCTTAGGGTCTCCAAGGCTGTACTCTTTACAGAAGCCGACTGCCATGATCCTCCCATTAAGCAGGTTCGAAGGGCAGACCAGAGCTTTCCACTGGGTCAACAGAGCCCCGTCTCCAACCGATGGAGAAACACCACTCAGTTCTCCAATGACTGATGCATGTTCCTCAGTGTCCTCGACCTTGAGTCCGCTGACTTCCGCACAGTATCCTCTCAGTCTTCCCAGTTGACCGATGAGTGCTACCCCACAGACCTCCAACAGGGTATACATGCTGTAAGTGTTGTATATATCACACTGTTCCTATTTCAGGACACTTGGATTACTCATATAAAGTCTGAGGGGCACAAAGGAAGGCAGAGAGAGAGAACAAGGCAAAAGGGGAAAGAAGAAAAATCTACTGACTCACAGCTGTGGGTGGGTATTCCCAGCATCCCTAGTTCATCTTTCCCACTTTGTGGGGCTCAGAAAATGAAGAACAGATTCTATATAATGGAATCCCCTACGTCCATGGATAACATATATTACACAGACTGATGCCATAGCAACTAGGCTTACTTTAGATATAATAAAAAGTATTAATTAAGGTAAGGAATTAACAGTGCATCTGCCAGACACTCACTACCAAAATTATTTGTAGCTGCAAATGCAATGTTTTATTCAACAGGCAAGAAAAGAGAGCGTGTGCTTTTTAAACCGAGACCAAAGAATGAACTAGTTTCGAATCTCATCACGACTACTTTGTGACTATTAAAATCACACACACACACAAAAAATTAGTAAGAAAAAAACGACTACCAACAGCAAGGAAGACCATGCCTATTATCATTATGACTTGGCTTGGTGGCATAGTTAAGCACTGGACAGCCAACTGCGGGGCGAACAGTTCAAGCCTGCCAGCCCCTCCATGGCAGAGAGAGGCCGTCTGTTTCTTGACTGTCCTCTGAGGCTGCTCGCAGTCAGAGCCGACTCAGTGGCAGGGGTGGTGGTGGTGCTGGAGCACTCTGTGGGGCGAATTAAGGAACCCACCTCTGGCAGATAGCAGTCTGGTGGCATAGTGCTTGCACCGTAGGCTGCTAACCACAAGGTCAGTGGTTCAAAACCACTAGCTTCTCCTCGTGAGAAAGACGTGGCTTTCCACTCCTGGAAAGAGGTACAGCCTTGGAATCTGTTTACCTGGGTTTACCCAGCCCTAGGGGGTCACTTTAAGTCAGGATTCACTCAATGGCAGTGAGTTCTGAGTTTTCTGCCAGATAAAGCGTGTTGAGAACCTGGAAACCACCATCATTTTCCTACTTTGTGACCTTTGTCGGAATGAAATGCATGCCAAACAGGTTCTTCTTATCATTTTACTGGGGGCTCTTACAACATTCCACACATCAATTGTATCAAGTGCATTTGTACATAGGTTGCCATCATCCTTTTCTAAACATTTACTTTCTATTTGAGCCCCCATAGCAGCTCCTCTTCTTTCCCTCTCTCCCCTCCCCTCCCACCCTCGTGACCCCTTGATAAATTATTGTTGTTTTCATATCTTATACCAACCACTGTCTCCCTTCACCCACATTTCTGTTGTTCATCTCCGTGTGTGTGTGTGTGTGTGTGTGTGTGTGTGTGTGTGTGTGTGTCTGTGTCTGTAGGAGGTGTTGGTTATGGATCGATCATTGAGATCAGTTCCCCCTTCTTCCCCACCCCACCCCCATTCCTCCTGGTACTGCTACTCCCATTTCTGTTCTTGAGCGGTTTATCTGACCTGGATTCCTTCTGTCATGAGCTCTTCCCTGTACCTGTGCACATGCTCTGGTCTATCCAGAACTGAAAGGCAGGACTGGAGTCATGATAGTGGCGGGTGAGGAAGCCTCAAGGAACCAGAGGAGTATTGTGTTTCATCGGTGCTATACTGTGCTTTGGTTGACCCATCCCTTGCTTGTGACCCTTCTGTGAGGGGATGTCCCATTGTCTACAGATGGGTTTGGGGACTCTGCTCTGACCCACCTTATTCTCAACTATATAAAACAGGTTCTTTTAAAGAACCTTTTAATTGTAGAAAAATAACACCAAGTGTCTACTGTGTGCCAACTTTAGGTGCCCACAATTTATCAATTTATTTGAAATTATTTCTATTCAAACCCACCCACATGGACATCAAGACACATATAAGTTATTTTGTCTCAGATGTCGTAACTACAGATGAGAAGGAAAAGGAAGAATCCTAAGGAAGGCTAGAAAAAGAAGAGAGATGGCGCAGTCAATGTGAGGGAAGGCAGAAGTGGTATAAGAAAGAAATGAGGAAGTCTCAGTGTTTAAAGCAGAACATCGGCACCTGTGCATAATCCAGCTTCAAAAGCAGGCCCGCCTTCCTTCACTTGTTTAACAAATATGGTGTCCATTGGCTCCAAGTGGTTCCTTTGATTTCCTACGGAAAGACACAAAGGATTTTACTCTGCACAACTTTCCTAAAATATCCAAATGATATAAAACTGTAATTGGAACAATTAAGCAAAAACGTATCAAGTTTTAAACATATGCCCTATACTTTAATGCTTAAATTATACTTCAGGGGTTTTTTAAATTAATTCAAACATTTACTTTGCTTCTTCCAATGCAATACAACGATTGGGGCAAAGTAATGATTTCCGTTTACTGGGAACATTTTGTTTGTCAAGCACTATGCTGAATACATACCTTAGAACTTGTTTCTACAGCAAATAACTACTACCATCAACACTGAATATAGGCAGAAACTGAGGCTCAGAGAGACTAAATTAATTTCCTGGTCACATAGTCATTAAGTGTCAAAATTGATTCATGAGGCAGTACTCACTCTCCTGATTCTGAATGTGAACACTGCTAAGTAAGCATTAAGACAGAATAAGACATAGTCCTTACTCTTCAGGGACTCCGGGAGGGGAGAGACTTATGAACAATTGTTGACAGTACAACAAAAGAAACAATCAGAGGCAGATACAAAGCACAGTCATGGGCAATGAGGCGAGCATGATCGACTGTTTAAGTCAACATATCCTACACTGTGATCCGAAGATTATCCAAATTAACACCTTATGTGCTTTCTGAAATATGAATGTTTTGAGGTTCACCCCCCGAAATCTACTGTTTCAACATGTTTCCCAGGTGATCCTGAAACACACAAAAATTTTAGGACTAACAATTTCTGAAAAATGACATCCAAGCCAAGACTCACAAGCGCGAGGACACTGAGAACCACAATACGTATCCCAGGCTAGGCCGCGGTGGGGATGGGCAGAGACAGCTGCTCTCAGAGCACAGCTTCTGGGCCAACAGAAGAAGCAGGGTCACCTGGGCATTATGGGAGAGATGCAAATCCCTGAGCTCCACCCCAGCCCTAATGGATCAGGACATCTGAGGCGGTCTGATGTACATTCAACTTGGAGAACCTCTGAAGTAGAAGACACAGCCCTGATTCTTCAAGAACTGAGAAAATGTGGCACAGGCAGAGCTGAATACAGCAATACTTACTAAATAACAACACTGGGCAGAGAAGGAAGGAGTGGCCACATAAAGCACAGTTTTTATCAGGGGACATGCACAAAGGTGACTCAAGAGGTCTTCAGTGACAAGAGAACACAGAGTTCTCCTCAGAGTCTTAGCGGCTGCTTCTGAAAGAAATCTCCAAAGCAACGGGCTACCTTCAAGCCTTAAAAAGCAACTCCAGTAAGGAACTGCTGGTGCTTTCAAAGTTAGTCCACATGGATTAAAATCTTTGTTCTGCCACGATTTTGAGAGTTACAATTAAGTAAACTGGAGAAACTAATGTTTTCCTCTATAAGAAATATATACATGTACATAATTATTCTAGATTTTTACATTGTTGAAGGGTTTCCATGAAGACTGAAGTTGATAAATGTGACAAACTCTTCAGTAAATGTGTATTCCTATTCACCCTTGCATACTGTTCAGATGAAGACCAATGTCGCATGTCTACATCGTCAAGATTTTAAACTCAAGACTTGATCCAAGCACCTCTGCAAAGTATCTGCTGCTGCTAGTTGCAGTCGAGTCACAGCAATCCTCGGTGGGCGAAATATCTATTACCCAATGTCCACAAGTAAAGCGATGGCATGACAAAATTATAAATTTTTGGTTAGCTAGACTGACAGCCATAAAGCAGAGATGTTTCCTGCATTAATTGGGGATTAATTATAATGCTGTCTGCATTTATTTTCAAATGGTTCCAGAGTGGGGGGGGGGGAATAAACCAAGACTCATGTGCATCCAGGCATGCATATTCCATGTCAAGTTGATAAAAAAGCATATGGGTGGGGTCTATCCTGTCAATCAGGTACAGCCTGATGATGCTTCCTTTTGGGCGTGGCCTTTTAATGAGGATTCTGGGAACTTCCTTTCTTTCACCCTGGAGGCAGGCCACACACTCTCTGCTTCACCTTCCTGTTGACAAGACATGTGGAGCCACACTGAGACCTGAGCCAGCCCCGAGATGCTTCTACTGCCATTGGATCCACAAGGCTTTTCACCCACCAACCTGTGATCTTCCTGCATTCTGCATCATTGCATGCGGTTGCATGAGTCTGAAGAGAGATTTATGGACTAGTTTCAGACTAATACCACCCAGACTTATGCACCTGATCTGGTCTGGGCTGGAACGTTTTTCTTAATATACAATTACTCTTTGATATGAAGCTCGCTCTTATACATAGATGAATGTAGTGTATGGGTAAAGTGAACAAAGAAAGTGGTTACTAGTTTAATCTAAATGGACAGCAGTCTGCCAGCGACAATAAAAAAGTTGGAGAAAATTTCTAATATGTCCAGGCTTTATTTTTCTTCATACAACCAGATCACTCTACTTCCTAAAATTTATTTTAATTTGCTTGCATGTTTGTGACTAAAATGGAGAGCAGGAATTTTGGTCATCATCACTGATACACCTCCAGCACCTAGTCCAATGTCAGGCATATCTAACGAACGAGCATGTTTATTACCTAGTATAATTCTCATTACAGGTTTTTAGGATAGGCAGTATACGACTAGTAGTATTACCATCTTATTGAAGAGAAAACAGAGACGATATATTTATGTTTCAATATTAAGAAATGTAAGCACTTTAAAAAAATCAGATGGCAACTAGGCTATGTCCTGTGGTCCACTCGACACTCACAGCTGCTGACATTAAAGGAAAGCTGCTTCTCTCCGTCCGGCTGCAGCTGATGGGCTTCAGTAGCTTGGTTGGTCAAGTCACTGCTTTTGTGGGAAGATTTACACGAGAAAAGGCAGGGCCCTTTTCTTGAGTGTCTCCTAGTTCACGGTGTCCCAAAGGTGACAATAACATACTTATATTTCAAAACAGAAAATGCAAACGATTACTCGTGAATTCTACCAAGCGAAATGCCTACTGCGGGTAGCCATGTAGTGACTTCTGAAAATTCTGATAAGAAAATGCCACTTACACAGAACAAATGTGGTCCAAAGTAATTTGGTGCTGAAATTACAGCAAACATCTATGTATTTCTAAAAAGGAAATACTAAATTTGCAATCACTGCCATGAAGAAACAGAAACACTTTACAATGTGTGCAAACACACAGCAGTGGGACAGATGAAAACGGAAGCCAGTGCTACAGCCAGCACTGGATCTGCTGGGTGCTGCAGTTTGATTCTTCTTCATTTTTCTTTCCGGGCTTGCCCCCACACTTGTATGTATTATGACGACTGAGATGTTTCTCAGTTTCTTCAGTACAGTAAGAATATTTTCCAGAAAAATACCTCCGAATTCCAGACATGTTTTGAGATATACATTGCTCTTTAGTTTCCATTTTGCTTGACTCCTAATTTTTAGTTAAGACTTAGCTCATTAACTTAAATCACATCTTCTTTTAAATAAATGAAAATCAACCTATCTAAACTGTGTTGCATATCTATCTCAATCTATGTCTTTAATGGTTATAAGTTGATCTTTAGATAGGCAAAACCAAAAACCAAATCCCAAATTACGATCAATTCACCAGGAAAAAAAATATCTCCAGTTTTTTTCTTTTAATTTTAATAAATCATTTTATTGGGGGCTCTTACAGGTCTTATAAAAATCCATGTATCATTTGTACATATGCTGCCATCTTCATTTCCAAAGCATTTCCCTTCTACTTGAGTCCTTTCACCCACATTTCCAGGGTGGAGGTGGGGCTGTACATAGACCATTGCTATTGGTTTCCTCCTCCTCCCCACACTTCATCCCACCCTCATGGTATCGCTACTCTCGTTATTGGTCCTAGTAAGGTAACCAGACGTCCCGCTTTTGGCGGGACAGTCCTGATTTTTAAAACTTTGTCCCATGTCCTGCAGCGTTTTTTATAAGTCCAGATTTTTGGAAAGAATGCACAAAGCGAGGGTATACGGTTTTCGGCTGTCATGTGGCTATTATGCCAGGTATGTCTTTTATCAATGGTGTCCCGCTTTACCAATGTTAAAATCTGGTCACCTTATCCTAAGGGGGTTATCTGTCCTGTATTCTGCGTATCAAGAGTTCTATCTGTACCAGTGTACATGTTCTGGTCTAGCCAGATTTGTTCTTACTTTTCTATATGACCATTTGCTACAGTCAGATGAGATGGTTTCCTGACAATCCTAATTACCATATAAAAACTAAAATATGACTCCACAGAGAAAGAATTAAAATAATGTGGAAGTTATATAATCGTTTGTCAATTTGAGAAAATTACGAGTGAAGGGGTGGGGTCTAGCCTGTCAATCATGTCATAGCCAATGAGGCCTCTGTGTGGGCATGGCCTTCTCCTGAGGATTCTGGGAACTCCGGTATTCCTCCCTGGAGGCGGGAGTCACACTCTCTCTCTCTGCTCTCTCCCTGGGAGATATTGCAGCTAAGAAGACACATGAAACTATGCTAGTGCCCTGAGTTGGAGAAACTATGTGGAGACCACTGCCAGCGCTGAGATGCCTCTACCGCCACTGGATCCACAAGACTTTTCACCCACTGGTCTGTGATCTTCCTGCATTCGGTGTCATTGCATGTGTTCTGTGAATCTGAAGAGGACTTTATAGACTGGTACTGGACATGTGGGCTAATAATGGACTTATGGGCTTGGGCTGGACTGGGCTGGGCAGCTTTTCTTTTTTTATTGCTCTTGTATATAAAGCTCTTTCTTATACACATGAGTGTCTATGAATTTGTTTCTCTGATCTACCCAGACTAACACAAATAACAATGATCTTACATGGATGAGAATGACTACTGTGACTAGACACAGAAAAGTCCTGTTGTATTTGATTAAGTACACAACAAGGTTTTAAACAAGAAGATACAAACATGAGTTGATATGATCCTGACTCATAGGTTTGAACTGGAGTAAATTTACATGATATGGGCAGCAGCTGCCTTCTAACTACTGGATGTCTGAGGGGG